CAATACGTGTGAGGATTTTTTCCCGTTATAATAAGGTGAATATGTGAAGAAAGATTAAGCTGCCGTCGTGAATGTTTTTCACTATAATTCAAATCACTCCTTTTTGGTAGCTACCCGTTTAGACACTGGCGGCCCGTGTGAATTCAAGTCAGAGGAACTTTTTATATTATTCATGCTTATTGTGGCTCTGTTGCTGAAGCCATTCCTCGCCGCTCTACGCTCGCAGTTTTAAGACCCCCACTTCGGACACTGGGGATGATTATAGTTTCGCCATTATTTTGTGTGTTTCTATTTTCTCTAACAGGATGACTCCTGCCGTGTTTGATCTTTTGCTTCACATTTTAACCCAAATAATTGACTTAATTTTTCTTTTCCTTTTGGTCCAGACATTCTCGGCATGTCTTCACGTAACAACGGTTAGCGGTGCTGAGAAGGTTCGTTGGAATGCCGCTCTCGCAACCTCCAAGGTCTTGAGTAGCCAATGCTTCGTTTGCATCACACATCCATATCAGTCGTCGGAAGATAACGCTCTCCTATCTCTTGTATCCGCTCTCTGTAAAGCCCTCCGTATGGATTCGTACTTTAAGGCAAGTGCACCCTCCTACTGTTTGTATTCCGCCGTTTGCGAGGACTGAAAGTGTAAAATTCACCCGGCCAAAATATGTCATTTATCCGTCCCTATTCGGACACTTATATTGTACCAGATGCTATTGATAATGGCACCCGTTGATAGGTGGCTTTGTTCTGGCTGCGCGCGTGTGTATTTATGCTACCGGTCATGGGCGACACCAAAGTGTGTCTAGGCACTGATCTTACGAACCAGTTACCTCTGGAAGATATACAGTTAGATGTGATGTTCATACGAGATAATCTTGTCCGCCAAAACACAGGAGTTCCTCATACCTGCTGTTCAAACCAATCACTGGATACAGGTCTTATATATCAGACGTTTCGACATGCCCTAACACATATGGTGGATGAGCAAACATACAGTATTAGAAAGATGCAGTTTCTAAGCTTCCTAAAAGTGACCTCTCAGATTTTTCACAGATATTGGTACGCGACGTGGTAAATGTTTTGTCGCCCGCACCCGAGTCCTTAAATACTACGATTTCCCTATCGTTATCGATAGTCAACTTGAAAATGATTCGTCCGTTTAGAAGCAGGAAAAATATTCACTTTATAATAAAGGACAATAAACGAGACCATCTCCTCGGTTGCTGCACTCAATCACTATCCGTCGTTTTGCGGCAGAATCTTGGGCTGGTCGAAGTTAAATAGGGCAAAATGAATTGTCACATAAATTTCGGCCGGGGATAAAATGTTTTATTATACACGTGTGTTGTTCTTTTTTACGGCCGGTTTTCTTCTAATTCACAGGTGAAAGTCCATGCAGCCCTCTCATTGCTCCTCCTGTTTGGGGACAGCCTCAATGGCAGTCTCTTTGATCCTGTTCGGGATGGTGTTAATTCAGAACATCAGGCTTTCCCCGCCCTGC